TGTTCTCTTCTCCCAATTCGGATTATCCCATCTCCACCTCCACTTTGCTTGTTATGACTCCGGCCATTTACCCAACCGCCCAAGGTCTGGCCAGCAATGGGAATAAACATTATTATTATTATAAAACGAGTTCCCATTATGAGGTGAACCCAGTCACGAGAAGGTCCTCACGACAACATTGGGAATTTTAAAACTTGTGGCGGGCAGAACGTTAGTCGTTCTTCTCTTTCGTGTACTTGTTTTGATTTCGTGCTCCAGAATCCCGGATAGAGCCTCTCGTTTGCTGGAACCTTAAGTGTAATACCGTCAAGCGGATACTTCATAATCTTTCAATAGGTGGACAGAAATAGATTACACCTCAAGATCCACCGCGCTAATCGAAAACAAATCAGGAAATAAATGAACTAGGTGATTTCTGATTCGAGCAAGGTCAAAGAACCAATCGCCCCTCATGATATTGAGCTCATGTGGTTACATGGTCTATCTAGTTCCACATCCGGCAGAAGCAACCAAGCAGACAATGGAATTCTGAGGACTAAGTAACCACATTCTGCTACAAACACATATGGTACTTACAACACGGTAGGCAAGTATTCTGAGTTACTAGGATAGCTAACTTCATGGAAGTTGTAGATGCTTGTCCGAAGTCGCAGGATGTGCGGTATTTTACAGTCATAGGGGAATTACCGTTGCCCCCGCCCATGAAGCTCATTGTCGGTATTCCAGGTGTGCAACCGGAAAGACGATACGAAAGAGTAACCTCGATTTAAAAATGGGGTTGCATTTAGAGTGTGCCACTGAAGACACGAATCCTTACGCGGCCGTGAGGTAAGGCATATAATAATGTTGCCACAGATGTTGCGATATAATGTTGCCACAGAATTGACTAGACACCAGAAATCGTCACTCAGTAACGTGGTTTTTGTGCCCAGCAACCTCACTTACGGTTGCTGTGGCTTGACACATTTATTTGCCAAATGCCCTGGAGGAGAAATGGTGGCAAAATCTTGATTCTTACTTTTCTTCTACGCCAAGAATAAACTCAGCCCGTATCAATTAGCCAGATGAAACTACGTGACGGTGAATGCATGGTTAAGCGTATGGCGGGCAATGGCCCGCAAGTTGCAACCGAACGTATATCAAATAGACCGTTCAGTGCTCTCAAACAATGCACAGCCCTCCAGTGGACAGAGCACATTGTACGATATTTGTGAGACTCCTCCTTAGGACAATACTCATCCAACAGGAAGATGGAGTGGAGGGCTGGCCTACTTGTCAAAGCAGAGCACATGGCTCAGTGTATCCACAGGTAAAGAACGCAAAGAACTACTGTTGCACGCCTAAAGAGCCACACATTGCTATTAGCTTCGCCTTGCACTGAAGAACCAGCGTGGCTTCAAAAGATTCATTAAGGATTCAGAGGACCCAGCTCCACACTGGATTGAGAGAAGCAGCAGTGATTGCACTGGACGGAAACTTTTAAGCCTTTTTCAGAGCACAGTTCCATGCGCCCTCTTTTGAGACCCGCAATACTCAAAGACAGTGCTGTGTGTTGGTAAAGTCAATGGCGAAATTGGATCTTTTTTGTTTCTCAGAGCCCAGGGGATGACTAGACAATGCCATTGCCATAAAAACTTGATTAACGTTACCACAGAAAATATGAAAAAAGTCTTCACCACTTCAATCAACCATGGCTGCGGTCAGAGTAAGACGAGGATTAACCGGTTGCGGACCGACCAGTTTCGGTAATATCTTAAGTTTCTAAAGCAAGTATCCGGTGCGGGAAATCCGGCGCTTCTCAACGGAACCAGTCTTTCTAAAGCTTATAGTCGGTTCGATGCGACACCAGCAGACCGGAAGCACGGCAAGAAATTACATATGTACCAACGACAGTAAATTCCATCCTCATACTCGGACCAAGTTTGCGTCAAACACGAAGGCCAAGCTAAAAACAGCTGTTTACATTAGCACAAAACCTACAAAGTCAAAATTGACGCACTAAGAGCACCCTATCTCAAGATGTCTTGCAGGCCGGCTGCATAACAAGTCGTCTCGCGAAGAACTCCATAGTATTTCAGTCGTCTGTGGGACCCTCATTAAGCCGGTCAGATGTCAGTACCTTTAGCACACAGCAACTAGTAAACCATCACAGCAGCTAACATTATCTCATCACAGAATGAATTTTCTGAGGATATGTGGCAGCCGACAGAGATCGTGTCTCTAGAAATCCACACTCACCTCCTGGAGTTACTGGTGAAGCGGTATCGTTCAGTACCTTCAGATATCCTTTCCAGCTCCTTTAAACTTTTACCACAAACTATGGGAACGACTATTGTAGGAGGGATCACGATTGCCCGTTGTTGGCCGAGCTCTTGAGTGTACGGGTTTCAAGGGGTTATTTCCCCATTCTGTCACCACGTGTGACCCTTTGATCGAGAGAAGTAACACCGTTCAACTGAAGAGATTTGGCAAATTCGGGGAGAATAAAGAAGTTTATCCCGGGCAACGTAAAAGTTTTTGTAGTTCTAGCTTAGCTTTGGTACCAAATACATAGGTCAGCGGCTAATTTGCACCCAGTGCAGAAGAAATCTCCCTGAAGATGCAGGAAATATGTCTCGCAATTTAATAAGGAATACTTTCACGTTGTAATTACAAATTTTTTCGTTTTAAAACTACCATTCCCACAACTTGTACCCAACTCAGATTAAGTTTCGAACATGTGCTTTTTGGCTTTGGGTAAACTGGCGAAACATAACATCGGCTTGCGTGAGAAAAATATGCTTTCAAATGAAATTCGCTGAGTGGAACTGCTTGAGAACATTGCATACCATCGGCTATCGTGGCTTGGGTGCATCTGCCATTTTTTGCCGTTTGGTGCTCGTGTTCGGGTTTGACCTGTGCGTCCAATGCACGAAGTGTGCCAATTTCTTGGTCGTCCACTATCCAAGACAAACGTGTTTGACTCGTGCGTGTTAACACTATTCCGGTTATTGCTGAGAGTAAAGTTAGCGGGGTCTTTGTATACAGGAACCTCTTGTTGTATGCACGAATTACTCTGATGTGAGTTAGCTGCAGTGAGCTTCTGAGGGCCTGCTATCGTTGGCGCTCTTGGAACAACAAGATCTTCCCGCTCTTTATCAAGAAAAACTGAGGTATATTTATACCTGGCTTTTTCGGCGAAATCTACATTTTAGGTAATAGACGTCAGGCAAGATGAAAGCGAATAAGTACCCGTAGGATATTAGCTTCATTCACGCCTAATCTCCTGAGCCTCCTACTTTTATGTGTTTACTTAATTTTTTGATGTCACCATTTATTCAGAGTTCACTCTTTGTTGAACACCAATATAGTCTAACTAAGTTTCGGACAGGGTTGCTGTCAGCTTTATCTAATGATGCTCCAAGCGTCTAACAGTGCTTAGCAGGCAAATTATCGTTGAATTCGTACTACTACTAATAATAATGTTTAATCCCAGCTCGTGGGTAGCATACCGCCAGCTATGACCATAAGTATGTGGTCAGAATAAAGACTCCACTGAGGTCATACAAAAACAGGCATTATCTGATGCAGATTGGGTCATACCTCAACTCGATCGATCTAAATTTAGTGAACATCAAGGGCATAGAAACACAGCGTTTTTCTCGTATCTTAGTGAACACATCAACATATCAAACCATCAAAATTCGAAGTTGGCCAGCGAAAGCCAAAAGGGCGAAAATAAAGCCTTGCACGAAGGATCTTAGCCTCGCGGGAAATAAAGAACCAGAAAAGCGATTTTTGGGAAGCAACAGCATTTCTCTTTTCTGGCCGGTCAATTTGAACTAAAACTGAAGACCATAGCTGGGGCCGCGTGGCCTTGGATGGACCAGCCAGGTATAAATGTCATCATCATCATCATCATCATCATCATCATCATCATCATCAATGACAGCAACGTCAGTGTTGGCACTGATGCTATAAATGTCACACGGCACCGCAGTGTCGGTTTAGCTAAGCCACCATGTTTTTGTTACCGTCGACTGGAGAATGTGGTGTTAGACGGAAGACGTCAGCGAGTGAACGGATGTTCCGGTTTATAAGTACATCCGCCAGAGAATTACCATTTAAAATTTTGTGTCGCTCTGTAATTCAGCAGAAACGTCTCGATGTTTTCTGGTGTGGTCCCCTCATATTTAATTTCTAAGTGTGCGCGTTTGGAAATGTTGACAAGTCCTTCCATTTGGATATTTGTGGGCGGAACGGTGGTGATCGCATGTGCTGTATGCTATTTTATCGGTAGAAAATGCAGCAGACGTGAATTCACTGCTGATGTCATAGACAATGATATTCAGAACTCCAAAATGACTAACAACGTGTCGTAGTTCTGAAATGGTAGTACGCGCAGTAACACGGTTCGTGCTAAATACTCGTGACCATTGATCAGTCCCACACAGTGGACGAGAAGTGACCGTCTAGTTTATGGGGCAGGTCATGAATATAGTTCAGTTTTTCGGGCGGGGGTGATTTTGCAGAAAATTGGCATTTTGAGCGTTTGTATACAACTTCCAACTGATTACCCATGCTATGCTATCTATGCTGTCTATTATTATCTATGCAGGCCAATTTGTGCGGTGGAGATGAATTACGGTTTGAAATGAAAGGTCACAAACAGTGGCGTCACGAATCATGGCGGAAGTACTTAGAAGTAGATGGATTGTAGCATCGTGTAAACTTTGGCGTCTATATAACATTTTGTGGAGCTTCTTAAGGGTGAAGAGTATCTCTAAAACTACCATTTCGATCTCGTTATAATTGCGCTCGGTGATTGCTAGGGATCTAGATGCGTGGGCAACCGGTTTTTAGCTTCCGTCATGGAAAACGCGAGAGATGACAGCTCCAATACCATAGTTGGATCGTAATGTGGGAGGAGCAGATCAGAGCTGAGAAGTGACCTTACTTTGTCAAAAGCGGACTGGCACTCAGATGACAAGTTCCAAGGCACATCCATTTTTAAATGATAATTTGGTGGTTCACGGAAAAAACGAACTGGAATGGCTTATTGAACCGAGGACTGGGCACAAAGTTTCTAAATCCGTCGGCGCTAGCATTTGTTTCCTGGCAGATATATTTTCTACGTCGGGATGACGGCCATTTTCGTCAAAAATAAATCCGAGATATTTGATGGACGTGAGAAAAATGCACATTTTTCTACGTGTAGGCAAAAATCATATTGCTGTTTTTGCTCTAGTATACAATACAAACGGTGCAAAAGTTCGAACTATAACCTGTGAAAATGACGACATCCAAATAAGCAGCAACTGCTAGTAAACCGTTTAGCATTGCATCCATTGTTTGTTGAAATATTGCGGGTGCAGATTTCATCCCAAGTGGCGGACAGTTGAATAGAAACAAACTTCGATGTGTATTGATTGTCAGCAATTCTTTGGAGGTGAAATATATTCATGGACGGTGAACGTTGAACCACCTACGGCCTCGGAGGTTTACGACTGCATATGCTCTCAAGCGCCACCGAGATCCTGGTCCGCGTGACCCCCCACCCGCACCGTTCAAAGACAAGGCTGAAGTCCTCAAGCAGCGCTTTTCCTATCTGTTTGCTTGCATTTGAGAAAAAGTCTGTCCCAGACAACTGGGGACAGTCGGTGATCGTGCCCATTTTCAAAGAAGGGCGCGTAGTGAGTGGTAACCACAGGAGAATCAGCTTGACCCAAGTCGCGACGAAACTGTTGGCGTCAATTGTCCTTCGTCGCCTTACGGCGGCTCGTGAGATACTGACTCGAAAGCACCAAGCAAGATTCCAGCCTGGTAGGGGTCGTGTTGACCAAATCTTCACACCCCGTCAGGTGTTAGAACAACGCCATTCGTATAAGCAACCTATCCTTGACACACTTGCCCACCAAGGAATGCCCTGGAAGTTTGTAAACATAATACGTTCTTTGTATTCTCGGAAGTCCGGACGTGTAAGAATGTATGGAGAGTCCTCCAAAAACTTCCGTACCCAAAAATATTTCCTGAAAAATATACACTATTGAAAGATACATTACAAGCTAACTTGCCAGTCAGTAGTAGGGTGGCTTGAGCCCAAATCGGTCATCTCAGTTCCTTTGAATCACAGCCGGGTTGCGACTTGGAGTCGATTCTCGTCTCATAGGAATGGAAAGCGACCCTCCCACTTATGTGCTGATCATAAACTGTTTCTGGCGAGCATAAACGCTCGGATCGCGTAACCTTGTTGTCACCACCTGAAAATCTGCTATAGCTCCAGCTGGATCGTGTCGCCGTCAGCCGCCGGTGGAGAGCCACAACTCAAGGCTGCTGTTCCTTCTGGTAAACAACTTGATTCTGATCACATCCTCATGCGTGCGCGCTTGTCAGTTCGTTTCCTCAGGCTCTCGAAAGTCCGCAAGAACCATGCCAACCCACCGTCTTTGAAGAATTACTGTAGGTCAACAATAGCGACCTCGGTCGTTCAGCTGTAACACCCTTTTGGTGCCTAGCGGCCCTACCACCCGAAGGAAGTGCGAGGGTTGCCCAAGCCTAAACAGCACAGTATTGGTTTACTGTAGACAGTTGTTGAGCTAGCACGGATGTAGTTGGCTCAGTGGTTATGGTGCGAATTTTCTGACCTTGTGGTCCGTGGTTCGAACCCGACCTCTGCCTCTCGACTTCCCTTGTCTGGTATTATCCCGGCCCTCATGTCTCCTGGTGGCATGGCAGTTGGGCGCCGAGATGGTGCTACAGCTGAACGATTTCAGGACGTCGATGCCTGTTTGCTCGAATTAGATTGTTTCATTTGTGAAGCAAATCGGGGGCAGACGTTGACGGACTTTTGTACTAAGTAGTTACAGTGATTGAAAAATCTCTCTATGTTTCATCCCTCTTTTTTCGATGGTGGAAATCTACCAACAGGTTGGGGCTTGTGATTTAATGTGATTTGTCATACTGACTTCTTTACAAAGCGACACTTCCTCTAAACGAATAATGGCGCTGTGACGATTGTGAACCGTATTTGTTACTCATCGACAGGATCGTTCAAAACTACTGGGTGGTTCAGAATTCTTTAGAATTGATAGAGAACTAAACAACAACCTGGAACAAACGCGTCACATTTGGTAAGCCACGGACTACCAACCTTATAATTTCCATCACAAGAAGGGCAGGAGTCAGGAGCAATTTTCTATACTCAGTTGATGTGGTGTTAGCACATTTCAAAAGGATGATTTCAAACTTGCCTAGTTAGCCGAAATCAATAAGCTGGCACCGGAACTCTTAGCTCACTTCAATCCAGAGTCAGAAGTTGGGCTTTATGCAGGGCATGCAATGTAGTGGCGTCGATCGTAGCTTTCAGGTCGACATTCCCGCACCGTATTCCAATATTTTTCTGTCGTGAAGGGCCGAAAATTGAATATTTTCATTTCCCATCACTGAGCTCATGTAAAATACCTTGTATTCAGAGAAGACCCTAACACGAAAGCTGGCACTGGGCAGGACTCTCGCGGAGTCCGGAGAGTTTATTTAAACAAGAGATCTTATTTTCCTAGAGTAACCTGTATGCGAGCCTAAATCGTTGTTATTCGGTTGACCAAGTGTTGGTAATCTTGTGTTTAATTCACTTCTAGGTGTTCATGCTGCTGTCGATGTGAACACAGTTTCTCTCTTTTGCAGTCGGCCGCGAAACGTAGTATCCAAAACCTGGCTTTCCAAGTCAAACTGCCCTGCAATGTTTCGTTCCCAAATGCGCACACTTTTGTTCCCTAGTCGCCCGATCGTGATACGTCAGTTATATGGAAATTCTGGATCAGAACGGTGAGTCACAAGCTTAGATGTTTTATTTCACGGTTGCCTCCCAAACACTGCCTTTGTGAGTTAAGATGTCAGTATCGACCACTGGTATACTTTATACCAAACCTAAAATTTGACCGCGGATGTCCTACCTCAAGAAAGTTGCATTCAGATGATCGATCGTGGTTTTTACTCCTATAGTGCCCGAACTTGCTCACCAAATTCCGTCTTAACTGGTCAGTAGCTTGTCAGACCAACTTAAGCCGAGTAGCACCGCACTGTAATGTTAATAATCGTGACAGCAACATGGTATTTTGCTGCCATGCAACTCTGTTAACATGTTTAAATAAAGTTTTATGGTCTGGTTAGAAACTGAGAGCCTCTGACATCGATCAGATGTCAAAAATCTCACTATTTTCAGTCAAGCACAGGGGAGTTCCTTTGGGCCCCATATAAGGTGGGTCGCATAGCCAACAACCCTCACTTCCTCCTACAAGGTTATGTTTTAACCGTTTCCAAGTCTTTACCACCTCGAACCATGCACAGGAAACAATGATGCTTCTTGTAGGTTGCTACTCGGTGTGCTGAGTGGTTACAGCGTGAATTCACTGACCGGAAGATCCGGTTCGAATTCGACCTCTGCATCCCGACTTTGCCTGTCTACACTTGGGCAACCTGGCAGTATCCCAGCCCTCTTGCTTCCTTCGAGTGGCATGGCAGCTAGGCATTGAAAGGATGCTACAGCTGACCGACGACCTGGCGTGCGTACCACGTGACCGGCCCACCGCAACCTGTAGGGCTAGGTGCTGTCCTCAAACGTACTGGTTTTTAATTGAGATTTCATCCTTTAAAGGCCGAGTAGTACTCTATAATCGTTTTAGCACAGATTAGTTTCACTCACAGGACAAAATGGGCTCGGAACGGCTCAGTGGTAAAGGCGCAATTCAGTGAGAAAGTCCGTGGTCTGAACCCAACCTCCGGCTATCGACTTCCCCTGTCTAGGCTTGGGTGATCTGGCAGTATCTGAGCCCTCGTGCTATCCTCCGGGTGGCATCCCAGTTAGGCCCCCAAAGGGCCTTGCGGCTGAATGATAAAAGGGTGAAATCTCCATCAAAATTTCCAAAAAACCTCACACTATCAACAAATGAACCGCTTGGTACTTCACCAGATATTTGATTCCCGATCACCACTTTGCGAATCTGTGGATCCCAGCCCAAACTAGTTATGCTTCTGAGATATCAGTGGTCAAGGATCTGAAGATACACTGTTCTACTGCCAGCCGAAATCGCACTCTTGTTTCCAGGTGCCCCTATTGGTGTCGTCGACAAGTTCGTTTTCCCGAGAAGTTGTATAAGTCCCGATAGGCCAAAGAACAAAATAGGCTTTCGGATCAGGTATGTCATAGCAGATATTACTAAAATCCAATAGGTATGGTGCCAGTGCGACACTTGTCTGACTGCCAAGGATGTAAATCTGTCTGCTGCCTTATCAGTCAGATATGTTACTCATTTTTGCATAATACAAATTCTTCAGCTTCTTACCACCGGCTATCCCGGAACACTTAGTCTGGTAGAAATATCGAACCAAAATCCCGAATTACAGCCGTGTTTCCGTAAGTAATGATAATGAATGTCAAGGTAGTTCGGCTTGTTTTCAGAAGAAAATTCGCACAAAATGTGTGATATCACGTAATATCACATGTCACAATAGATTCTTCCGTGCCAAACGAGCTCACAATCTGTCTACTAATGGAAAGTGTCTATATCGAGATGGCCCAGAGATTAAAACACGAACTGCTAGTTGAAAAGTTCGTGGTTTGAACCTATCTCTGCTTTTTCGACTACTTATGCCTAGTTCTGAGAAACCTGACTGTACCTCAGCCGTCGTGCTTACTTCGAGTTGCTTGGCGTTTATGTACCTAAAGCGCGCCACTTTCGAGTGATTTTATTTTGTCTACATCCAGTTCATATCCAGAGTGGATGCTTAAAAACTGTTTTCGGCAGCGTTTGCACGCAAAACCTATGGAAGTGCCTCAAAGCAACAGCATTGCCTTTCACACAAGAAGGGCGCCATGTTTGCGATGCTTGATTTATTCCGCAGATACGGTGCAAACCAGTTCGGAGAACAGTTGGCAGATTTCCAAATATTCCCGAAAAAGCGACTTCACGAACGGTTCCAAGTGTCTCCCAACTGATCAAAAAAACGTTTTCATCAGAACATACTCATGAGGTTGTCTTACTTGCGCAGGTCTCGCACCCCAGTTGTTCGGTAGAATGAGAGGGAAACCTGTTCTGTCACCTGGAACATTTTTTTCATTTTTATCTCTTTCTTGGCTAAAGTGATTGCGATGTATTCACAATCTTCACTGATTGTGCAGGCACAAAACAGGAATCCTGATGCTAAACATGGGCGGTCCAAAAACCACTGAACATGTGCACGACTTTTTGTTGCGGCTATTCTCTGATCGTGAGATCATGCAGCTACCTGCACAGAGGTGAGTTCCCTTTCCTCATATTCCATTTCTTAGTATACTCTCACGCCTAATAGCTAAACGGCGGTCGCCTAAAATTGTCAAGCAGTATGAACAGATTGGCGGTGGGTCACCAATCACACACTGGACTCAGACGCAGGGTGAATTCGTTGTTCGTTATTTGGACAAAGTGAGTCCAGAAACAGGTGAACCATTTTCTCCACTCACTCATCTCTTCTTTAGCACCGCATAAACTGTACATTGGTTTTCGTTACGTCCATCCTCTGCTCGAAACCGCAATCAACGCAATGGAAAAGTATTCGTGCTCTTTCATCTCGGTTTAATCTTGATTACAGGGATAACCTAGAGAGAGTGGTGGCCTTCAGCCAGTATCCACAGTACAGTTGTACCACCTCAGGAAGCAGTTTCAACGCCATCGCCAGACACTATGAATCTAAAGACGGTACTTTCACCGGCGTGGAGACAATATCGGCACCGGATGTGACGACCAAACTTCCCGGTCCTGTTTGGTCATTTCTGGATCGATGGCCGGTGGAATCTTTTCTCACACATACCTTTGCTCAACACATCCGTCACCTACTTGATGCCATCGAGGATCCTGTCGAACGGAAGAATACAGTGCTCCTGTTCAGTGCTCATTCTATCCCTATATCTGTTGTCAGTCGTGGAGACTCTTACCCACAGGTTTGTTTACTTGTCTATTTTTTCGACTTGGCAGAGGAGTATGAAGGAGATCACGAAACGCTTGAATGTTGTCGGTGCTACTCGCCTTCCATGGTGGGGACCGCGTGATCCTCACTGTGCCTGGTTGGAGACACTATAAGATACGGCTGCCAACCAATACCACTGGCGTTCTTGTCGGTTTCTATCCAGATCGCCTGAGTGAATGTCTGGAGGTGTAGGCACCTCGGAATGATTGTGGTAAGCTAGCACTAAGTCCCTCCCCCATCCACATTTGCTCTTTTTTACAATAAGGCCTTCAAATAAATCATGGTTGTACGGCAGTAAACCATCAGTGTTGAACACTGAAGTCATGCTGTCGATGATGATGATGCTATTTTTTCGAAGACTAGGTCAACATGCACAACATCACATGGGTATGGCAAGTACTGGTCAAATGCTGTAGTTGTCTGACGTCGGTTGTAATTACTTAACTCTACGATTGGCCCGTGGCAAAACATATTTTACAAATTCTGTTAATTCTGAGTATAATAATTCTAACTATAATTCTAAGTATCGATGACCTTTTACATCGTTTCCTTCAGAAAACCAGCATTTAATGGGATTTTGGGCTATCTGTCGGGGCTTGGATCGTGTCAGCCGAACTAATTGTTCACGATGTTCGTTAGTGTTCATTAGCCATCTTAACCTGTTCACAAAGGATTAGGCGTCAAATGTCTTCGGCTACGCGAAACTAATTTGCGGACACGTGCTTCTCATGTCCGTCCATCAGGTGACTCATGATAAGGACGAGATATCTCGTGTGTCTAAGTTCTCTCGGAATCCGACTACCTTTCCATTATCGGATAGTTTTATTCACATGTTGTATATTGTCGAACAGAATGATATCAGAACTCTAGTGTGATTGGAAGCAAATTTTTGCGATTACAGTTCGGTTCAACCCGATTACTGTAACTGGGTGTCAAATTCTCAATGGGAACACGTTCTCACTGGATTCTGGATCAAAGCGATACAATAACGGTCGTGTGGACGGCTTCTCAACACACCTAGAAATACCATACGTGTTGTGTGCGCTTCACTGAGTTGTTTGAATCATTAATATGGTGTCTGCTTGATGCGTATTTACAAAAGCTGATTTGACGGAGGTGCACTCGCGAGTATCATCTTAGTGGTACAGAGGCACACATCGTTCAACCGTAAATACATTCAGCCGGGAGAGAGTTGCTTCTTTGTTTTTTCCTGAGTATTTCCACCTCATACTCAAAGTAAGCGATTTAAATTCCGAGCAAAAGTAATAGGATCTTCCAGGCGAACGTAAATAACTCTAGTGTTGATTAGAAATGACAAATTCCAGCTATAACGCGCTATATGCCTGGAAGGTACGACACCCTTATTAAATAACCGCAATCGAGCATTCAGAACGAACGTTTTTCATTGTCTCAATAGAATCAATCTTCTTCAAAGAGGACACTCACGGAGCCAGCAGATAGTTTATTCTTGGGAAGTATTCTCTAAATTGGTTTTGGTCTTGACAGCGAATAAGTCTAGAACGCCCGGTATGCCCAGAGTTGAGTATATCCATATTCAGTCATCTACACTTTGTCGACCCGGTATTCGTTGTCGAATACGGGCTTCGTTCGTTGGAACCAATTGAGTTAGAATATATAATAGAGATAATCGCTCAGTAGTAACAGCCTTTCAGTGCCCAGTGGCGATGCCACCCGAATGAATGGGTACTGCCAGGTTGCCCAAGTCTAGGTAGAAAAAGTCGATATGCAGAGGTCGAGTTCGAACCACGGATCTTCTGGTCAGTAAATTCGCGCTCCAGACACTGATCCGTTTCGCCTCAAGTGTAAATGTTCGCCGGAACTGAATAACTGGTCGCTATTGCAGTGGTCCATCTCATTTTCACTCTCGATTTTTCACGCCCCTTGTCTAGTCTTCGACCTGGGGTTGTTGTTTGTGAAGACTACTACGTTTCAGAGATTTCCTGGCTGTTGTCAGTTTGCATACATGACAGTAAAAGAACGCTCTTGCTTGATGTTCTGCCTTTGAGTCTGCTGGTCTGTGCTTAGTAACGCTTACTTGGCTGGTGCATTGTCTGTGAGTGGGATAAGCAAAACCAAACTACTTTGAAGTTGTGCTTTATTACTCGACACTTACATCCATATGATGCGAAATCTGGGTTTGTTATGATCTTATCTTCTAATAATGAAAGATGATATCGATGGCGTAACTCATTTCTGGATGAGTCGCACTACCAATCAGAACTGAGCTGCTACAACCTGGTCAAACTGGGTCACATCTCAATTCTATTAACCGAATGAAATTCATCGCCTGGGGCTGTTTTACCTATCTGGCCATTTGAGGACCACAGGTGTTTGGATTAACTTAGACGACGCTGAACATGTTTTAGCAGTGTCTGGGTCCATGTTAAGCATTATTTGCTTGTGCTAATCGATCGTAATTGAAGCCTTCCCTCTAAAACAGTGTTCTCTCTGATGGACCAAAGGAAGTCGTTTTCGTCTGTGAACCTCCTTTAAAAGGGACTTAGTACGCATCGTATGGTCGTACTTTTATAGATTCCCAATGAAACGGACCTGAAACTGTTTAACACTAGAAAGCCAGAGTATTTGGATCGGCGAAGGTTCAGCCAACCTAGTAACTTTGGCTTTTCTTTCTTGATTTCCATCATTTTGACCCAGGATATCATGCTGACGCAGTAAGTTGGACCACAACGTATGTCAGTCATTGTAGAATCGTCCGTCTGCGGTTCGTATGTGTGAATATAAAACTGATGATGGATGGACTAGTGTATGGGAGGTTTCAGGGTGTGTGTAGGCTCTCTTTTCGACAATGAACGGGGTCAGAGCAGTTGTTAACGATCACCTCAGCGGTTACAACCGTGTGAGTTCGAATTAACTTAGGCTGTATAGACCACTTGAAGCGCGTTAGCTGTTTATTCGATGATCGGTCTCGCTCAACTGCTGTACAGTGGCATTAGCAACAGTCTTTTTTGTTGACCAATCAGCCAGCCCCGGACGAAGGCTGAGGTACTTTGACTACATTTGACATGTTTTGATGCGCAGCGGCTGCAAAATGAACAAACTAGCATGTTCTGGGCGTGAACTTGTGTCTTTCGTTCACGCTTTAAAGCACTGTGGTTTCGCTTGTGAACCAAGGGTGAATCTGGCAATGAAGAATGTTCTTCCTAGGATATATTGCGCTTTACTAAGCTCCTAGGCCAACAGATGGATTGTATTGCTGTCTATGGGATACTGAAAGTTCACAATGTCTGAACCCTTCTTCGCTACCAGAAACTCCAGCGTACAAATGAGCAAAAACATTGAGAAGGCAGAAGCAAATCCCGTTTAAATTGTGGTATGTCAAGTTAGAAGACAACCAAGTCATGCTGTTATTCGACGCCATCATCCTTTCTACATTGGTTGATCACAAACCTGCCCGAAAAACGCTAATGGAGCTACCTAAGAATCAACACAACCAGAATTCACAGGGAGACCTCTGGACCAATGCATGATTGCATACTTTGATTACGAAATAAAAAATAAATCGTTCAGCTGGAGCACCCTTCCGGTTCCTAGCTGCTGTGCCATCCGAAGGAAGTAGGACGTATGAGATACTGCCAGATTATCCAGGCCTAGACAGGAGCAGTTGGGGGCAGAGTTTGGGTTCGAACCACGGACCTTCTGGTCAGTAAATTCACGTTTTAACCACATCGACATACAGGTACAAAAATAGCTGAAAGGGAATCCATAGGATCATCTAAATCAACACCGATTGCAGGAGCCTTAAAACATAAAACGTTTTGCATAACCACGGATAAATTCAGGGCTTGGGGCGGTTTATTTGTTATCGTCAAGCGAAATCCAGCAGAAGGTACGTATGAGCTGCTCAACAGCACACCTAAAGATGTTAAATTTACGATTAACCTGGACAAAGGACTACGGATCGAACACTTCACGGTCGAGTATACCGGAAGAAAATGCATACAGATCAAATGTTGAACTCCTGTAGCAACTATCCTATGAACCGCAGAAAGATCTGCCTTTGAAGTCTGTTTGGAAGAACAGAAACGTCGCAGCATAGCAGGGCTGAGAAGAAAACCACTTATCTCGAGCATTGCAAAACAATAGGTACCCAAGAAGTTTTACCAGAAGCTCAAGGGAGAGATCTCAGCAACAACCGCCAGAAAGGACAACTAAACGAATAGTGCATCCATACATCAATAAGTTATCTGAACTGACAGCAAGAACATTGTAATATTTCAGAGGCTCACAAGCCGAGTGCCATCGTGGAAGGATTGATTTCAAAAACAAAGGACGAAACCAGACAAGATAACCGGAATAATCTTATCTGCTAGATAAAGTGCAGTAAATGCAACGAACTTTACATGGAACAAACTATCCACGCGAATCAACGAGCAAAATGTGGTCATAAGAAGGGACGACAGACCTTCTTTGTCTTCTATTTGGAAGACTCGGAAGGTTATCCTCTCAATTTGGAAAACGTGAAGATTCTGATCCTCTCAATTTGGAAAACGTGAAGATTCTGGTGTGTTAAGGTATAAAATAGGCAAGGGAATTACTGGGAACATGACACTCCACGATGAACTCAACCGATACTTTGAACGGGCGGTAATGTACGAACCTCTGCATGCAAGAGAACGCGAACCGCGCCGGATAACAAACAGCGGCCGAACCTCAGACAAACCGATCAGACAACCTGATCACCAGCGGGACTGGTCCGGCGGAGGTTACAGGGTGAGGTTTAGTTCAAAGGTCCCGTGGTTACCAGCCAGTAAGAACGCGATTGAAAAATTCACTCAATAGTATTACTCACCGGGGCAGCCAATCTTAATCGAATGTGGTCCACTCCGGAAGCCTGTGTATAAGCTTGCGCACATTACTGCTCGATGCATAACCACCAACGCACGGCTCCGCCCCGCTTCACTAGAATGCACTTGTTGCTTTGATTGGTAACGAAACGTTGGGAACAGAATAGCCAAGTTCAGCGAATAACTCGATCACCGGCTGGGCAACTAAAGCTGCCAACATCCTCTCCTATGTTAGATACATCCCATCACAATCGCAGATACTTGGTGATTTATTTGCTGTTTTGGAGGACCCTTCTGTAATAGAACTGACGCTAAACCATTTTAACTAAGTGCACTCCGTCGAGTTTGTTTGTGAGATGCAAGCCACTGTGATGCTTTTCCGTTCCGAAGAAAAAACCTGTTCGACCTCTTATAAACCGGGGACGAAAAACGTGCGAGGAAGCAATGACTGAGCACGCATGAGTGAAAATGGTTAATAAATGGATTTGCAGGAAAATGTATGAAAACGATGCTCCAGCAAGCAGAATGCCCATAGATTTTTGCAGCGGTAATGAAAAAAAACGGATCTAAGTTCACCTTCCAGACAGGACTTGCCAGTGACTTATTAATTCCCGATTACCCAAAGTCCTCGAAAGCACTTTCGCCGCTGCAACACTCCCCTTTTGGTTCGTAAGCTGATGCATGGTGCTTTTAAGCCTCAAGACCCGGACGGCAATCCGTGCCCGTGACATACCAACTCGTTTGGTCTCCTACTGCCGTTGAACTTTCATGGCGATGAACGTTACCTTGACCTAAGCAGTAGATATCGATCGCATATGGGATGCATCAAAACCAAGCATTGTCGATCTGGTAAGGACTACTGGTCAACAACTAATAAACGAACCAGAGCTACCAGTATTTCGACACCTTACCAAGGATTACCTAGGTTTGGTGCCACGTGCAAGTTATGGTACACGGACGGACTATTCATTCTGTACTTTTGAGTGGCCCGATCAGCAGTCTAGCCATTGAGTGGAGTTTGATGCCATCGCTACATCTAATCTGTTCACAATCACCAATCATCGGTTTTACTATTTCCATTCCGAATTATGGGCGTCTACGTGGAAGTAAGTTAAAATATCCGAGAAAAGTGAAACAGCTTGGTGGGGATTTCGCGCGCTATAGGTATTGTCTTCTTCGAACCAGCTCCGCGAGAAAGCATCGTTTCGGGGGGTTTGGTGAGCAGCATAATGTAGGGAAGTTTATTAGATCCTTGTAGCACCTTGAGAGCGTTCACCTAATAATATTCCACCAATCCTCAGAAAACGGACATTTTGACACCTTTTTCCCTCCTCCCAACTTATCATCCAGTTTTGTTTATTCCAGGAGGTTGCTGCCACCGTCCATGCGGTTATGCAATTACTGAATTTTCAATGGCCCTACCGCCTCGTGTGGCAGTCTAAAGTTGGTCCGGCTGCCTGGCTTGGACCATCCACATTAGACACATTGCACGGACTGGCTCGTTTGGGCTACCGGCATGCTATGCTCATTCCAATCGCCTTTACCTCAGACCACATCGAAACGTTGTACGAAATGGATTTGGAATATTGCAAAGAAACTGCTCATAAGGCAGGAATGGTCCGTGTGCACCGAGCTGCGTCGCCAAACGATAATAATGTGTTTCTGCTGGTAAGATGCTGTACCCTAATGTAAACGGTGTTTTTGATGCATCATTTTCGATGGCTGTGATGGCAGGAGTGACCGAAAAACCTCAAAGGTGCACTTAGGGCGCCCCATTTATCCACTCCACCAATCGGGTTATGTAACTAGTCCTGTGTTGAATAGTAACGCAAAGTTGTGAAAATATGCGGTTTCAATTGCTCTTTCTGAGCCCAGTATAGCTATAAAGTACGAAATAAGGTTGTGAAGGTTCAGAAAGCTCTACGCTTGGTAAAAAACACTGACACTGTCGATTCACTTTGTGAGAGACTTTGACTGCACCGCTGACATTCGCTTACAGTCGAGCAGGCTTATCCGTCTTTTGTACTCATATCATCTCTGCTCTATTGTATTCTGGTTAGCGCTCTTCCATATCACCAGTGAACCATTTTACTCATGCCACTATCATTCCTCTCCCTGTTCTTTCACCAAAAGGGTTTGGGTGAATTGGTTTCGAAGCACTTGCGTAGTGGCGAGGCCTGCTCTCGACAGTTTATGCTCCGTTGTCCAATGTGCACAAACCCCCACTGTGAAGCGACGCGAACATTCATTCAAACGGAGAAGAAACGATTGGAACCGTGGACAACGAAAAACTTCGTTGAATCAACAAAAACAAAGGTCGCCAACCAGTGACATCTCAATTTTTCTGCTAAATCGCCCGTCCGCCAATCCTTATGACCAACTCTCTTTTACCTGTTTTCTTTACTCTCTAGACGTATTTAACGCTAAGACAACGGGTGCTCATAAGCTCATCTTTGTTTGACTTGTTTCGCGAACCAAATTGGGTTGCACATAATTTCCGTCTCTGTTCCCAAAACTGCAATAGACTTTCGTATTTTTTAAATCGAGTTTTCGGATTACTGAGTGCTCACTCTGTTCATTTGTTCGGTCGTTTATTGTAAGCAGAAAACCGAGTTTCACGACGACTTACTCCCATTAGTTTATGGAGGAAAGTGAACCAATGACACTGTTTCTTGCTTACCAAACTAACGATGCCTTCAAACATATCCTACGATCACCACCATCTGGTCGTTTTCAGATAGACCAATCTCAACCTCGTCACCTGTGAACAGGTCGGTTGATTAAAACGCAATTTACTCAAGAAACAAATGGTCGCGAATTTCCGGGCAATTATGGAAAAGTTACTCAGTTCCAGCTGGTTGCAGACCCCATTGAATAATCTTGTCGTTATAATGTCGAGCAAAATGACGCCGGTTTTCTGAAGTGAACTGCAGCTTAGTACTTAACGGATCAATTGGAGGGTTCCCGGAATCACAGAAGACGTGTGAACGAACATATCGAGTAGAAGAAAATCACCGAAAGTTCAATCAATTGGAAGGAGTTACCATTTCAGAAGGGCACGATAAATAATCGGTAGTTCGTCCGTAAACGTACCCAATCATCAAGAGGGTCGTGAAGCGTTTGAAAGAATTACCTGACTGTGTCTTATTAATCTGAAGGTCCAGCTGTGACCGTAACACGATGGATGCCAAATTTATGCTTCCTACATCACTGTTAATTCAGGGTTGTCAAGCGTGCGCTGCTGGAATGGTGGTAACACGCTTGTTTCGCGTCTCTCATTTCTGGAGTTCGAACCCCCACAGGGTCAAGGATTTGGGCTGCGGATGAAATCGAATTAAAGCGAGATTCAAGACCAAGGCTGTCGTGCTTTGTTATGAAAAATACACAATAACTGCATGAGGACCAGAGGATTGTCGAAGTGACAGTGATGTAAGCACAAAATCCGTAAGCTTCGTACCCGTCCACAATCATTCTCGTTCTCTAAATAGCTGACCCAAAAATTAAAACGAATGACCAAGAGACCCATTGTTCGAATGCATTCCTGGGCTTTAGGTTATTCCAGCCATATCTTGTGCAACCCATATACAGCTCACATGTTTCCTTCGACACTTGCCTGTCGCAGCTGGATGATTAACCTTTTTCCATACTTATTCGAAAAACGACCCAAAATAAATAATAGCTGTTATCCCCGAATAATGCTCCGCAAACTCCATTCTGCGGAATGCAGGCTAATACGGACACTTGGAATCTTTTCAATCAGTCGCTGAGTGAGCATGAATCACTGATCAGCTGCTGTATCCATCAAGTCCGTCTAAACCCGTACTATTGCTAGAGGCACTGATGGAATCGATACCAAACCCGCATCAGTACAAGGCGCTGATCACGGAGAATTCGGGTTATGCGTCAACAAACGTTTGCCCCATCACAGTAGTAAGATTATGGAAAAGGTGTCAACTGCAGTGTTTGAAACGCTTCACCGTCTGTTTGGGTTTCACACCACGGAGACTAAAAAACGATATGAGATATGTGAGTTCTCACGAAAGGGGCTCTAAAGTTAGGCAAAATTGTGACTTTCAGCGGAATTTTGATATCGCATCGGCTGACTCAATTTTATGGCACAGAACGAAACGCTTGGCACTACAACGAACAGTTTGCGTATTACATATTTGCGTTTCCTAATTTAGAGCCCAGTCCACGCAGTAAATTTCGGCTGCTTTGCAGATGTCCTCAAGTTGCAGAACGTTTTGCGCCCATATCGATACTAGAACTACGAGGTCGTGACTTTCGCTCGAAATCGATTTGTGAGCGGAAACCACTCTGATCATGGCTCGTGTCCACAGGAAATTTCAAAGCTTCTCGCTGGTTTGTTAAGATACTACTGATAGCATCCTGTGTTCACATACTCCAACGGCATCAGTGTACAGGAAACAACTGTTTACGGACGGATTCTCAATTGACCGGCACCGTAATAAAGTGGTTAGTGATCCCGGCTTTGATACAAGATTTTCTTCAGCTCTGGATTACTAGGACCGATGAGGCTGCTCTCAGGTTGCGATACTACTTGACAAAGCAAACAGCGCGACATCACAGCACCAACTAGGCCTTGGTTGTCGCACCATATTTATGAAAGCGAGCAAAATATCGATCAGTGACGGGACACCTGCTTTGGCAATCCACTCCAATTCAGATGGTCAAGCGAACTTTAGATCTTATCTCGACATCGCCACGGAAGTGAGTCGCACCACTCGGACCCGACTAGTCGGAATATCCCGATCCGAATGCGACCATTTTCCGTTAGTTGCGCTTTCGGATTCCCTGAAACTGCACGATTTCAGCTTTCGTGGGACAGAGGATAACAAGCGGTTACTCGTTTGTAACCAAACAAGAGCAATACAGATTGTATATTTCCAACCGTGTATCCTGGCCACTACCTATGAGCCCCAGGTAAGAGCGAAGTTGTCGATCGTTTTTTAAAAACAACTACAACGTGGGCTTTGTATACATACTGGAAGAGGAAGCGTTTTTCAGAAAGGTTCGAAGGACGATCGGTTTAGTGGAATGGGCGCTAACCTGTGATACAAGACACTCGGCTAATAGAATTTTATCGCTCTGAGTGCCCGAACGTCGAATGGAACTTCTGCGGGTCCAGGCATGTGCTGTACCTTCTGAGATCTCACATGATATGACGGCTCTTTCGCAAAGCCAAGGTTGTCACCAAAAGACTCAATAATTATCCTAAGCACTCAACTGTATGGATCATGTTCGGTCAAGTTCGTACTCCCCCGTTGAATCACATTCCGTGACTCAGAGCGCGAATTTACTGACCAGAAGTCCGTGGTTAGCCAAGGTTGTCACCAAAAGACTCAATAATTATCCTAAGCACTCAACTGTATGGATCATGTTCGGTCAAGTTCGTACTCCCCCGTTGAATCACATTCCGTGACTCAGAGCGCGAATTTACTGACCAGAAGGTCCGTGGTTCGAATCCGACCTCAGCCTCTCGACATCCCCAGGTTTGGTAACCCGGCAGTATCCTAGCCCTCGTGCTTCCTTCTGGTAGCATCATAGTTAGGCACCGAAAGGGTGCTATGGCTGAACGATTACTATTATTAGTACTTCACCATTAATGTTTATCCGTGGTCGTTTAAAATAACCACGACTCAAGTAAGCTGTGATAATTTCCTGGGTATCTGCTAAGTTTTCTGTGCGTGTCGCCTTAACCGGCTTGCTCCACAACAGAATTGCAAAATTATTCTAGATTTACTGTTATAGCTGCGGGAGAATATAGAAAGTCTGAAGTCAAAAAATAGCATATCGGAATGAGATGTTACCATCCAACGTTCTGATTGCTTTGGGAATCTTTTCAACGTTTGTACGAACTCACGCTGTGCTGACCTTAAGCTCTCTGTAGTATACACCAAATGGTGCTCAATTTATTTAATAAGATTCGAGGTTAGTTAGGGTGGGAAGTAAGTCGGGAAATCGGCACAACAGTTGATCTACGACTTGACTGAAGTTGTCACGGGACTTAACGTTGATTGCAAAGCAAGGCTTTACATCGCATTATCACAATTATTCACCTCGGATTATTTTGGCGTTTAAGGCGCGAAGCTATTGACCAAGATGTCCATGGTTCAAACCGAACCGTGACTCGTGTTTAGGCCTGGGCAACTTGACAATATCTCAGACCTCGTGCTTTCCTTCGGGCTTCACGGCAGTTACGCACCGAATATGGTAGAACAGCTGAAAGTTTCTCCATCATTATTACGATCAATATTATCAGTATTATTGTTATTGCTATTAACACTCATATATGCAGACAAATTTGTCCGTGATGGTGAATTCAACAGCTTTTTCGTTGTCCTACTTCAGGTTAAGAAAAACAGTTTTAGCTCTTCTAGTATGGAAATCAATTTCGTCCTGCAAATCATCAGGGACGCGCATAAGTTCCTCCCTGTAGTTGAAGTTAACATGGGCTTTTAGGCCCAGAGGCATTGTATAGCCGTTTTAGTTTAGCGTGAGGAGCGTGCATTTCACGAATGTCTGGGGAGCTTTGAGCCCGCAACTTTGAAGATGGTAACTTAACAGGACGTGTCACGTGATTTGGTGTTGACGGACTCCTCTAGTGACAACTTCACAGATGTGAATTTTTTCCTTCCGAGTAGATTCGCCAACTATAGTGAAGACTTCATTCTGTACGTGAAATCAATCTTTGCTGGGAATTTGGGAAGCTGTGCAATGCTTCTCGACATTTTAACATACGTTGAGTTCATGTGCAGGATGAAGCCCACAATAAAACCTTGAAATCCCCTCAAGTCATTGTGCCTGCACAGGAAAACGATTATGTTCTACATCCTTTGGTCTATCTGCGAAGCTGATATTTGAGTTTGATCCCATCTAATACTGTAACAAAGCTGTGCACCCTGCAAGTGTCAGTCGAGATCGACCTACTTGGGAATGGTCCGCATTTGTGAGGCATCTGGGCAAGCTAGTCAGTATGTGCATGTGTCGGTGAGTTACCCCCTCCCCTCCCCTTTGATCCCCGAGTGCAGACATTGAGGATTCAAATAAGGAAGCGATAACACAATCGAAAAGGCAGGAGAAGACAGTTTGGATGTGCGGAACCAAAGGCGGACTCCCGCACAGTAAACGAGTTAGTGCACAGTGCCTTAATGCCAGAAAAATCCCGATGTGCAGAGCCTGTCCGAACCTCTGGCAGTCAACGAATTCACTCATGATTAAGATATTCCGTTTCAAGCTATAGACAGGAATAGCGAAAGCAGGTTGCAGAAAGGATACGAACACTTGGCAATGCGCCTGCTGAAGCACCCATTATGTCAGTAAGAACAGCGTAAATTACTCAAATATGACTATTCCAACATTCCCAATACTCAACCAAACTACCATGGAGCACCTTGCGCACCCCAAGGGCGTATACAATCAGACTGTGATGGATGCCAACTTCAATGAACGTGACCAAGTCATTGCAGCCTGAAAAACGTTTTATTACAAAGGTCAAGCACAAGATGAGGATCTTTGAAAACGCAAGCGTACCGCCGGTTTTAGTATCACAGATACGGCGAACGTGCATCGCACAGCCCATTGCTCGACCAGCAGAAAATCCGTTCTTTCTATTTTGTACTTTATTCCTTAGACTACTTAGCGGAAAACCTGCGGTACGGCAACAAGTGATGAGGACGTTTATAGGAAATTTGAATTGTTGAGGTTTCAGTAATTCCTTTTAGTTGGGGTTAGCAGGCTATTTGGCACATGCAGTTTTTATCAGTAGCATGAAGTTTGTAAACCAAGGTGCCCAGATAATGTATTTGATCATGTATAGGATGGGGTTCAGTTGATGTTAGAGGAATGAAAGTCAAGGGTCAGACGTGTTGTTCTACGACAGTTCTGCAATGCCAGTCAGAAAGCATGCAAGCTTTAGCCAACCATTTTCGTGAAGGCTGTTTCGTCATTGATTGCCAGTCGAATCTAGTCTGGAGGCCGTTTTTTCCATAATAATGCGCCAAGGGCTTACTGGCTCAACATCCCGGAAGGGGCTTCGTACTTCCCGCACACATTAAAAAGTTTTTTCGTCCATATCGACGAGGGTCATACCAGCTGGATCGACTAGACTCGGTTTGGCATACTTCGGGGTAGAGATATTGAGAAATCTCATCCAGTTTATGCTTAAATACGTTTTATTCCGAATTAGAACATTGTGTTGTGTTACACCTGTACAAGATTTGGACGGGAGCAAATAATGATCTGATGCTGCAGCATAATGAAAACAGGTAAAATATAGGTGCGTGTCGAAGGGACGGGGTGTCGACGAGATGCATAGATGGTTGGAGGAACATTGACTCTCTGTACAAAACAGCAAACACGGATGATGAACTCGATAAGTAGGAAATAGTGTGCGTATCACGAATTGCTGCGTGAGTGTTAGTATTGCTTGACTGGGAACGTATGGGCATATGGCTCGAGGACAACACATGATTTGCTGTGTGCCACGGCGCCGACCAAATCGAATGACAGAGGTTGTTTTGGCCGGACAAGAGAATTATTAGTTGGAGAATTCACTAATGAGGAGGTGATTAGGCCATGAGGGCGATGTTGCTGGCAGTTCGGCTTAGGTGAAGAGTCGGACGGGCTCGAAGACCAGCGGTTCGGTGATTCGCTGTCAGAACTCATGATGTGGTTATCACCAAGTAGACGGTGATCTGGTTTGTGCGATACTTGGGCCGGTGTAATTTCCGTAAGCTCTCCATTCATCATCCGAGTCGTTTGTCCGGGTATTTTAATATCAACTTTGTCTATTACAGTAGCCTCTGTATTAATCGAAGCATGAGGTTGGTTGACAGCAGGGAATGTATCGGCTTCATCTGTTTGCTCACACTTCATTGAACGAAGATCAGTCAGATAAAATGCTTTCTTCGTTTGATCCTGACCAGGGATAAACTGGGTACTGCGATTTTTCGGAACATGTTTCGGAATCTCAGGCTCCACACCTGAGTTCCACCTCACACTCTGGCTACAAGTTGTGGTAGTAGCACGAACGTGATCCTTCGAATGATCCAAACCAGAAGAACTGGCATCGAACTTCCCAGGATCACTAGACGGGATGTTCGAAAAAGTACTGTTACGTGAGGTGCCATAATACGAACCCCATTCTTGCACGCTAGATGAAGTCACCCCGCGGGGAGCAGAGGGGAACCTTTTGCTGCACAATTCAGCTACATCTAAGTTTCTAGGTAGACTAAATTGATGGGTGGGATTAATCTGGGAGGCGGTTGAAAAGGCATCTAGCAGTTGAACCACATCACTATGACCTCCCTGATCAGCCAATATCTTTGGTGTACGATCCAGGTAGTCCACCGACTCCTGGTTAGCTCCAGCTAGCAGAAGCAGACGACATGCTGAATAGGCTCCTTCTTTAGCTGCCAAGGCAAGAGGAGTCTCATCATAAATTGTCTGGACATCGCAAGCAGCACCGGCCTCCAGAAGTCGTTGTATGAAATCCACTTGGTCCGTGGCTGCGGCCCAGTGAAGAGCGGTTCGTCCCAGGCTGTCTGAAATGTTTAGATCCAGAAGACTGGTTGCACTGTCTTCGTGAGGTGGAGCGGAGGTTGCCAAATCAAACGGTTTGGTAAACGATCGTTCATTCGGTACAACCGACGTGGGCTGGTCGGTCACAGAGGTACTCATATGATCTGATTGTGTCATCCCATAAGTTGGGAGTGGAGTGGCGGCATTTCTGGCGATTGTGCACATTAGAATGCTCATGGCATGGAGGATTAGCTTGAACGATTCTGTAAACAATGAAAGGTAGAATTGCAATGAAATATCATGACTTAGATGAGCGTGTCTATTTAAAAGACATCGAGGAACACCCGGAAATTCGTAGAATGCACATTATTGCAGTACCACTCCAGTGAGGACTCGAATTAAAATGAAGCGGAGATCACTTTACCCTAGATGTCGAACAGCCATGCAAAAATAATCACCGTGACAGTAGCCGAACCAATGCTGCGAAGATATCAAACCAGTGCTTCAGAAAGCGGTTCTTGACCTCCACCACAAAGGTAAATCCGTTATCTGCTTATGTACTGTTACTTGGTGGCAGATTTCCTTCCTTAATTGGTTCACTGCGCCATCTGTTTTTGATGTCACAGTCTTGAACCCATTGAACTCTTGTGCACCTTTCTTCTACTACTGGTGAGCTGAAGTGTAGTATACCTGACACCTGTTGAAACCACTGTAGCGAGCTGTCCAGTGATTTTCAAATGTCAGGCTGTGCATAAACAGGCCTCAAACTTCATTAGGGAACCTACAACGTGTCCAATACAAACAGCGAGACCAACGCGACCGACGCCTTCATTTTCATTGGTGCAGCTGACCCTCCTCAATAAGGACTACTCTTAGATCGCATGAAATGGACCCTGGCCAGTAAGCAGATGTTTGAATTTCAGTTCCAGTCGAGCCGAATAAAGTTAAGGTCTGTAGTGGACCCTATTGAGAGGAAGAATCTTCCAAAGGACGCCATATTTTAGGTGTGTACTATGAGGTGTCAAAATATCGACTTTAACATTTGTGGCGATTGGTCCTTTTTTGTGAGTGTGATACTTGACGTCTTCTGGTATATTTTGGAAGGAATGAGAGCCAGAATGGATATGCTGACTGTCGGTCGATGTAAACGGTAAATGGATCGCATCTCCGAAATAATAACTCGTCTGGGAGTTCTATGGATAGTACCAAATATTTGAGAACTGTCATCAACAGGAACAATATACCGGTTTTTTCTTTCTTCCATTATCCAACACTTGACACTAGCTTAAGCAATTGACTGAAGACATCTGATGGCTGAAAATGGTTCAAATGTTGGATAGATAGATGTAGATAGCTAGGCTCAGGTCCCCTGAGCCGTCCCATTTTCCTTCCTTCAATTGTTGGGTGCTAGTCGAATAAAGCGACAGTGAAGCCCCGGTGTTTTTCACTGGGATTACTGCCTGTGGTGATGGTGATTATGCACAGTAATCAATACCACTATAAAAACGCATATTGCCAATCTGTGTTTACAAACGAAGCAGTTACATCTAAAGCCTTGTGATTCTAGATACTATCAACTCAAAAAAATCCAAAAAAATATTAGCGCGGGATTTTGTCAGTCGCCAGTAAGTAGACGCTAGTCCATCTGGATCACGCAGCTACATCAGAGAAAAAACTGACTTAGAGGCAGAGTATGAGTTTTCCGGTCACGATGCATGAAGTTCGGGTGCAGACAGGCAAGAGAACGTTTAGATAACTATTAGAGCAAACGAAAGTCACGCATTTTCATTAATGTTTGGAAGATGTTTGTGTTGCTTCTACTCAAAAGCTAATGTTTCATGGCTCTCTCTCGGCTAACAAATGAGAAAACACTGACCGAAATCCTCCGGAATGAGTGAGCTTGTTTTGATCGGAGTCCACAAGCGAAGTAAGTAAGCAGAACCGACCGATATAGACCGATATGTAAGTTGCAGGCTGTGTTGCCAGGTGTCCGATGGTGTGATACTTAACTTGCGCACGATTTTAAGTGCTAATATGAACCTTTTGCGTGCCGCCCAAATTCTCCGGCATATTCATTCTTTTACATGTGCAAACCAAGACCCAAAGACCGATATGTAAGTTGCAGGCTGTGTTGTCAGATGTCCGATGGTGTGATACTTAACTTGAGCACGATTTTAAGTGCTAATATGAACCGTACGCGTGTCGCCCAAATTCTCCGGCATATTCATTCCTTTGCATGTGCAAACCAAGACCCACATATGTAAGTTGCAGGCTGTGTTGCCAGGTGTCCGATGGTGTGATACTTAACTTGCGCACGATTTTAAGTGCTAATATGAACCTTTTGCGTGCCGCCCAAATTCTCCGGCATATTCATTCTTTTACATGTGCAAACCAAGACCCAATGCATTCAATGTGAACGGCGCCGCCCGGAGGCAGGTCCTTGTGGCTTCATAGTGTATTTGATTTCTATGTTACTTGTAGTTTGTGAGTAGTGGGGATATTTTAGTTTTCTTTCTGTGGACCACAGTAGAGATGATAACAGTGCTGAGACAAGAACCTCACTATATTTCAATGCCTTCTAATATTCTGCGAAAAGTGCGTTAAGAAAGTCACAGCCATTCGTCAGTTGAGTATTAACTTCAGTTTGCTGGTCACAAGGAAAGGCCTTTTACGCAATACAACTGGACCTTTTGGTGCCGTTTTAACGAAAATAACGGGGTATGTGCAAGGCATTTTCCTTTGAGCAGGATATTTTCGTACATTTTTTCGAAAAGCAAATGTACGTACGAGAAATCAATAGTCTCGCCACTTCCCAACAATATCGGGACCTCTAATTCACCTCGTTCAATGAGTCCCCTAGGGCTCGGAGTCAGGAAAAGCCCACCAACTTTCTACCTTTGCAATTAACATTTGATTTAAGTAACAAAGGTTTGGTGCCCAACAGATCTCTCAGCACTTTGAAAAAATGGGGTACCACTTGAACACTCACTAGTAACGAAATTTCTTGACTACATCACTAGGCTAAACTCCGAGATCACGTCAGCTGTGAAGATCTGTCTAGATGATTCCCGCTGGTTCGGTGACATCCACTGAAGATTTTTCGTTTTGACTGGGCTGCACAACGTTCATTCCTTATAAGGACAGGATATGTTTAGTACAAAAAGCTAAGTAACTACACGTTTCATCTTGAATGTAACTCGTCAGTTTGCATCCTCTTAGTTACCCGTCGGCCTCGGCGTTACGCAGCCAAGACCACACTTGCGTGTGTGCCAGACGAAGAGATGATTTCGATCCATGCGCGAAAGTGTAGTTAGTGGTCGGTAGCGTTTGGCAAACAGTCGAAACTGTTAACCAAAAGGATATGCAGCTGCACCTGCTACATCCAGACAATGAATCCAAAACACGATGAAACGCGCTGTGGACTGCTTTCAAGGGTAACCACGTCTTGCCTCATGGAGAACTAACACCTTAAAAAAAGAGTCCCATAGGCTTGGTACCCATCAGATTCCTCAAAAAGATTGTAAGTCTGAAATCATATTGAGACTGTTAAAGTTCTCGACCGCTAAGTTGAGAAACCACTTCGCGATGCCGATCCGTTTCCCAGTATCTCGGCCATTCATAAACATGGCTTGGTGTAGCTGAACTATTGGAGTACTTCGAAGAGACGACACCATCAGTATATTTTTAACTGTGACCAAACTAAATAAACCAAACAACGTCAAGCCCATTTGCCATGACACATCCTGTGGTTGATCATAGTAAGCACCTTCAACCTGGCCCCACCTACTAGCGGTACGTTCAACTGTCCAGATGATCAAACAGGGCAGTCCTGTACGCCAGACATAACCAATGAGGCCAAACAAGATGTCCGGGCATTCAGCCTCGCCACAGCTAGAGAGACATGAACGTTTATGCTAATGTTCGGGTCTCTTGATTTCGGAACGAAAGTAATCCCTATCAAGAAGAAGTGGGATAGAAATGACCAAAAATTTCCAGCTCAAGCGTAGCAAGCCAAAGGAAGACAAAGCGGATCAGAGACATCGAATAGCTCTACATCCAGTCAGGAAATCGGATGGCGTTGGGAAACAGTTCCGAAACCGTCGAACGACTGACTCCTCTCCGTCAACCCTATAAACGCTTTCAGCTGCTCTGGCGAATGGAAGATAAGTAATCACACGGACGGAGGGGACACAATCGCATTCCTGATTGCGACAGGTCAAACAATGGTCGAATGAAGCCGGAGGCTTGGATGGTTTACAAAGTTGATCGATACTCCTGCCTACTACAACCCGGTGTGTCTCGTCCGACGCGGGTGTACATTCGCGTCCGCTGACTGCCGCCAGTTGTTGCACTATCCGTAATTTTCCAGTTGGTTCGGTCCTGTTCAGCATTGCTGTTAATTTTCTCAAGCCCACGACTGTCATCTGCAAGCTTCGGTCGGGTGAGGGTTGTGCAAATGACATACCGGTGGTTTCCTCGCCCCTGTAATCACCCTGCACCTACGGCACTAAGGGAACACCGGTGGTTGATATTCTACCTTTTTTTAGTGTTTTACTACTCAACGTGAACAAACAGAGCTTTGAGCAATAGCTGTCCGTTCGACACTGCCATCCACATGACGCAGTCAAAAATTCCCATTGTTCAAAAAGGTCGTTCTCTAAATAATGGGTGTTCTCAACGGTCCCACTCAGTGTGATTTGATCAGGAATTGGGTTGAGTACGGATTTCTTCGTCATTAAGTTTTCGTAGACCAGTGTAACCTCAGAGTTGATTCCAACTTCCCAGCTGTCTACTCAGATCTACATAGCCTTGTTTTATCTGTCTATGACCGAACCGTAAGTTGATTTTCGGTCGAGCATTTTCGTAAGTGAAGTGCTCTTCATAAGCCGTAAAGGGAAAAGCGTGACCAAAGGAAGCAGTTCAATTGTGTGAGTACTTCTCACCATATACAACAACTTCTTGTCGTATGCAACAGGTAACGCACAGTAAATAGTGGCGCCCAAGCTGGGTGACACGACAACAACTTGAGGTACGTCATAAAAACCCGATAGCATACTGAGTAGTAGCCGCATAAGAACAAACAAAGCAAACGAGGCTTCCACTCACACCGACCCAATCTGACTGCCAACTAGTCACAGGGATGCACCAATCATAAGACACGGTACCCAAATATCATAAGAACAAACAAAGCAAACGAGGCTTCCACTCACACCGACCCAATCTGACTGCCAACTAGTCACAGGGATGCACCAATCATAAGACACGGTAGCGAACCCAAATATCGCTGCATTTGACTCGTAGTCAGTTGATTGTAGAAATCCTTGAGAAAGGTCGCCCACAGCAACCGAAATGTCGGATTACAACAACCTATTCCACGACGCTGTGTTTCGACTTTACAATTAATAATAATTCCTCTTCATACACCACAGGGCGCTGAATATTTTTAACACTCTTTGAGCTGATTTCGGCCAGGAACTCCTCAAACAAGGCGTCTTCTCGGCCATTACGTCACGAATTTGTGATGAGTCAGGAATCAGGTGCTAAGATGTAGACATTCAAAGTTAGAGTTGTAAAAGAATAGAAAAGCCTACACGAATCAACGGATCGCGGATCCCAACAAGTCGCGTCAACCTCAGACAAGTCCACAAAACAGATATGCGCGCAGGCAAGTACAGGTTCATAACTCACGGGAGATTGCTTTGAACGCATAGCCATGGTTATACACCTTAATTTTGTGACCGACTGGAGTGAATCAGTGGCGATCGGGTCAGAAACACCTAAGTCTAGTGTCTGAGACAAATAACACACCAGACAAACCGCATGTCGAGTACTTCGAACTGATCATGATGGGTACGATCGGCTGTTGGCGATTGCACAGATAACTGCGAACAAGCTACGCAACTCACAACTACGTATTCAGGGGAAACTTCGAGTGATTCCACTCCACAAACTTGCCTTACAGTCACATAATCCACCTCTCCTTAACACGGTAAACCCCTAACTCCGGTCCTTACACGAGAAATCACGAACAGTTGTGAACTTGGTGCCTGATTTCCGATGTACTAATCCGGATACCAGTAGCATAAACCAAGCTTTATTCCATTCGTTCGTTCTTACGACACCCCCGAAAAACGCGAGAACAGAGCACGGTATAGAAAATCACCACAAATTGGCAGGCTGTCTATGGAGACAAGTCCAAGGTAGTAGTGTTTACCCGCTTTTGTAACAACGCGACATGAACATGCCACCAGGCAACAGGACAATAGAAGGTAACACTTGCTTGCGCTGTCTTAGTGCTCCAAAACGGGCCCAAGTTACTCATGCATTACGAATCAAGCGAATTCATTTCACCACACGTTATTCCACGAGCACCAAAATACCAGTAGCAAGGTGAAGGGGATGTTGCATCTGTTCACTTTACCAAGTAATGAATAATGAGCAAATCAAGCAAACTGATGTTAGCCATTCCACCTAAATTTGACCCAGGAGACTTGACTGTCCTCAGTTTCCCAATCACTGGTATGAATTTTTCGATTTCATTTTACCTCTGAAATTTCCCAGTGGCCGAGACAATTAGTGGTCAAATATTGCTTAATAATGACCCTTGGGAAATGAATTCTTGAGTGGAACGACTAAAAATAATGTAGGAAAGTTGTCTTTAAACTGTACAATTTCAAGTTCAGATGCAGTCTAAAAAATTTTACCTCTTCTCAGTTATCTAGCCTTTCGGCAAGTGACGGTAAATGAGCATTCAGTCACACGCTGCCTCCGAAGTTGGAAGAAACATGCAAAAAAGTGAGGCAACAAACGACACACAACTGAAGCTATGGTCATTCCTCATGAAAACGGGCTGCAGCAAACAATCGCCCACTAATCGGATCAAGCTTTTCTTACCATGATTTTACCATGATTCATGATCACAAATGCAGCCCCCGTGCGGAAAATCACCACTGATACAGTTCATGTGGTGTTTCTCTAGGATTTCCATGACCGAATTCACAGACTCTCTTATCTAAGTGCAAGTTCATCATACTGTCGATCAGCTGCTCGTGGCTGAACGGTTAACTGCTCAGACTACTAGCCCGGAAGGTCGCGGGTTCGAAACTACCTGGAGTTTCGTGAGACGCGCAATGCTGATGACCTCTAATAAGGATGAAACAGCTGTACAGTGCTTCTTGGTTTTTCAGCATAGACTGGTTTCAGGTACAGGACGAAATCTCAATTGAAGTTAAGTGAATAGCCACCACTCCATTCCCCCGAAAAAATGTCGGAAGAAAGAATCACCAATCGTCGTGAAAACGATGAAGGCGACTATCCTACAGTGGAAACGCTAACCTCAGGCACACCAGGGTCTGTCGTCAGAGGTCGCAAACACACAACGAAGAATGAAGGCTGGGCCGTTGAGTTGATGAATTTATCTTTCAAAGGGATTAACAGCTTCTCATCACGGTGTGAGCAATCCCTGGACTACTGTAGATGGTGGCGGGTCTGAACCAATGGCGTGTTTCAGAGTACGTGAATTTCGTTCACATGTACCCGAAAGACTAAGCTCTAGGTCTACCGAGAAAGAAAAATTATCTTAAGTGGTGTAACCACACAACCCAATGTGCACTGTACGCACAGAAATTGGTTAATTTCCACGTCTGGAGGAAAATGATGTGAGGTTTCAAGATGAATGGCGTAGTGCAGTGTATCATGGTGTATCAGGATACTGAGCTTCCTACGGTCACAGTTCCTTGTTCAATCACGATAGCAGTTCGGACGGCCGCACAATGAAAGTGACCATGTTGGAAATCATCCCTTTAGGGTTGTGGCCCAACACACGTTAGTGCGTGGCTGCATATGCAACATGTGAATGTCATTAATCATGTGACTGTTAACGAACACACCTACCGATGCTTCCAACCGCTTAAGATTGATTCACCTAGGCCGCCATCAGGAGCGACGAGGGTTGTTGACATTACTAAGGTCTTTGGTCGAGGCGTTCATGCTTTGTTGCTAGATCATGACCCGGCAGATGCTGGATCATCTCATCTCAGCACACGGCCGAGGGAACGGACAACATTATAACATCATGTCAGTGTGATGGTCAGTCGCTTCCTCATAAAACTAAGAGACGCAATAGTGATGTTCCGATGATTCTGCCAGAGATTTGTGGCGTTTCGGAAACGTCTGTGTTGGGGGGATCGAACACAATGACCGGAACAAACGACTTCGGGAGAAATAGGGTCGATAGATCTTTTAACACGCAACCCAATTTGGTTCCCATTATTCTGATTTTTTGTCGGTGATGAGCAACATAAACGGAATGACGGAAACGTTGAAGAAACGCCTATTTGTGGCGAAGTAACCACAGTTATTCATTTCACGACAGCAAAGATGCAGAACTCCATGAAGTCTGTTAGTTCAAGACAGGTGTGATTCTACGGTTGGGCAGGTTGGGTTACGTTTCGTGTCAAGATGGGTGCTTTTGCTTCGGATGCAGTGTTCGGGCGCGGACGACTCATCGATCGGGTTAGCTGCTTGCTAAGTTTTGTCATTTGAAAAACAGGTACGTTCTCGAACGATAATGCATCCTCACGGTGGAAACACTCACCATTTGCGTGCAGCCGAATGGAATCGGATTAAATTCGCCTACACACATGCCAACGTACACCGAAATGGATGACGTGACTTGACTTAGCGTCAACGAATGAGATTCAAAGTGGAGGCTATATATGCTGGACGTTAATTCGTTATACAGATGCAGATGAATACCCACAGATATTCAAAGCACATCAACAACTGCAGATTAAACAGTGTTCTAGCAAACATGTATACAATTCTTGTAAAGTTCTGGCCCCTGATGCTAGTGTCGTATTCGAACAATACACAAGTGTGGACCACACGCGAACTTTTCGAGGCGTTTCAATCACACTTGCTATAAACAGACGATTCAGGTTTTTATTGGACACTGGTGCAAAAAGTTATGCGGGCCTACCAATCAAGTTGACGACAATCTGGTGGTTAGTATGTGGGCTCTGAACATCGCGCTTGACAGCAACAGTACAACTATCACATGTCGCTGAGAAAAATGGACACAAGGTATGAAGAGACATACCAAAGTCGCCAAGTTTTACAGCTTGGATGAGCGGAGTGGTTGAATCGGTCAGCAAACTGGGGACGAAGCACATCGGATTGGAACCGGCGACCGGGTGAGATAGAAGGGCGTGCGTAGATTCAAACGCTCCGGAACACACGGAGGAGAGCAAAACAGTGCGTCCGGTGTTGTCAACACTGGTTGGATCAGCACCCGCATCGAGCAGACTGACCACAGCATGGGCTTGATTAAGTCTGTGGGAAAGAGAGACGCACGTGGAGAGGACGCCATGAACCATGAAATGCAGTTTCCGGCACCACTTAAATGAGCCAATAATTACTGACATAGGACACGATATTCTGTAAACTGGGATGAAATGAACCGTTAGTATCGAACTTTTACCAGCCTAACTTTAACTTAGACAAGATGAGATCACCTCTATGTGCACGTTAGTCAATCAGAATGGCCACGCTTGGGACACCTCATCTTGAAGGCGAGTTATTTTCAAATATCTAACAAACATTGGATTTTCTTCAACTGAATACGTTGCACAAATGCCACCCTTCATGAAGAATGGCATAAACAGTAGCTTCAGCTGGGATTCAGTTCAGTCTGCCGTCAACACCAAATTAGTTTGCAAATGAGAATAGTTCGCCAACTGCGTATTTTATGATGTCCAATTAAAACACAAAATTGATGGAAACTCGGGAACTGCACCTACATGATGAAAACCAGGAAATCCGGAACTGGTAGTGGGTTATCAAGAAAGTGCCGGCAACTTTATGAGTAGTGTGCTATGACAAATCATGACTACTGTTTATTTAATTAGACGCTCAAGTCTTGCGACACTATTAGTTCAAACGAGACTCAGAAAGTTATGTTTTAAGCATGAAAATGTCTACCGGAAATAGCCACAATCAGGCGTCTGGCCCTTACAAACGGAAGGTTCTCAGAGCAGATCGTGCGAAAATAAGCAAAGTTTAGACATTTGATGGCGCTCCCTGGTCATGCGAAATGCAGCACAGAGCTTCAAAGTAATAAACTAAGGAATGATAGTGGTCTATAGACTTTTGAATTAGAACGGTTTTATCTTTCGAAACGCGAGAGCTTAGTGTCGGAAATGCGCTCAGACATTAAAATTGGTATCACGAATCAGCATGGCTCACATTGTGATCCGGGTTTTCTTCACTGACTGCAAACACCATGAGCCACATAACATTCCTCTCTATATGTAGCATGGAAGGATGGACTGACTACTGCGTGTTTGGGCTTTTTTTTCACTTCCCATTCAAATCGTTCACCGTTTCCATTGACGGATTAGTACTATAGGTATTTTGAATATTATTCCCCAAGTCCACTCATTAGGATCAACCCAAGTCGTTTGTAGCTGGCCTGTGTATTCAACCTCCAAACATTCAGGACAGTCGTGTCCTCCCATTATCCATCGTCTGAAAGAACATCTTGAAGTATACGCATTCAGCACCCTGCCACACATACTGTAATCATCCTGTAGTAGTAGTATTGCTTTTGTATACAAGGGATCGATTTCAGTCCGTCTTGTGAGTTTCCCTCCAAAATCGAAAGGCTGTGCACGTATGTACTAGGTATCCCAGACAAGAATCCCATCTCAGCTGTCATTTCTCAACCCTTCCGATCGCCAATTCCAATTTGGATGAATGATACGGATGTAACTACCAGCTTAAAAATAGGATATGTAAACCTCAAAAATCGTGTTCTTATGCCCAGGCGACGTCCGCCTGTTGGTTGGAAAAACGCGTGCAATTGGATCAACCAACAGAGTCGTTAATTTTCGATCTGATAAAACTTTACTACCAACTTGTGTCGCCTATCCCCCTTGGCCGTATTTGTTTCTCGGTTCGATGCAGGTTGCATTAAAAACGTGCCAAGACGGGCGCACTGGTCTATCAGCAACCTAATCTAAAGGACCTATACGGTGTGCAAAACCAAAACTGATGCCTATGCATCATTAAGACAGTGCAAGAATCCTGCTGGCTTTAATCTGGGATTTGTATCCAATTAGGTAACAACTCAAATGATTCCAGTTCGTTGGTCTGTTGAACAGAAACAAATTTGCAGTTGTTTTTGACTGTTACTGGATGAAAGCGTGATCGTCACGTAACAAGAAGTCTAGCCACTTTGTAAGTTCTACACATGCCTAAAATATTGGTACTTTATTATACACTTAGTCTAATTTCTGAATCCAGTTTTTTTAGTGAATCCGAATCCAAGGGTTCGATTTTAGAATTTCTGCTAGAGGACGAAGTGCACCAATTGACACGCACAAATAGTCCTAGTTACTAAACGGGATGTTATAAGTTAACGAAATCTTGCCGAGGATATTTGGTGAGATATTTCGGTCACGTGATTTCGTGTCAACCATTTCAACAGGTACAAAGGTCCAGGACTGATCCATCTGCAGTCTTGGTCTCAAACCAACGCGGTCCTCGTGAGCTACAGTAGCAAATCCAGTGTAAAGAGTTTCGAAATCTATGACCTAAAAATAAGTGGGCGGCAACACCAAGATGGGGTTCTGAAAAGGTGTTCGTCAAAATAACATTCAGGTGTCCGCCGTAAACTAAAGGTAAACGTATCGCTAAAATGTGTCGACAGGGCAGCACACTGGAGTGAGTCTGTGATCCCGAATATCAATTCAATTCTGACAATAGGTTTCTATGAATTCCGAGCCTATATTCCAACGACATGCACAGCTTGTTGACGAAAGCGTTGAGATGAAAAGCATGAATGTCTGGCACAAGCACCAGCTTGTCACTCACACGCTTTGTAAAGTTTGCTTAGTTTTTCTCGCATGAATATAATGATAACACAGTCCCTCACACCTACCTCGCGGCTAAGTGAAGCAAAGTCTCTCCGGTCTCTGGCAGCCTTTGCTCTAGCAGACGATGCAATCGGGAGAGTGGCGCAGGGCTCGAGTTCCGTGTTGAGACGGCCGCACCCGGATAAAAATAGGCTTGCGTGATGAAAGCGTCCTGATCAAGTTTGGCCAAATGATTGAGCAAATATCGCAGTGACACATATTCGCAGGATGTCCCAGTCGTTGAAGGAACAGGCGTAGTTGACTCATTGTCTAATGGGATGTCTTCCAAACCACTTCCAGAAATCAGCCGCTGAGCGATCTGGCGGAAATACCAATTGTCCGAATTCCGATCCGCCGCACCAGTGGACTCTGGTAGGAATTCGTTTGGCGCGTCCTGTTCACTTCCAGTTCCCCCCATTCGAGTACTGGTCGTGCTTCCACTGTCATCATAACTTTCAGACAGATTGGGAACCCAAACAGATTGTGCGGATGTTCCCAGACGAACAACGTCATCCATCGAACCCATAGCTGTCGATGGTGCATTTGGACAGTCTACATTTTCCACCAGATGTTCCGTAGGTAGAACCGGTGTTCCCCCGGAAGCCCGTCGAAAGTCTTTGACATTCCATGCCATCTTGAATGGTGTGAGAGAAACAAGGCCCGATTATTCTTCACCAAACACGAACTAGAAGGTTGCTGAAGACGTTTTGGCAGTTCGCGATAGAATCGGATCAAACTTTGACCATCCATGATACAAAACACACAACTAGGGTAAACGTAAGCACGAATAAAATACGACTGTACCAGTCAGTGGGTCTTTGAACAACACCGGATTGTTGCATATGAATGACCTTGGTGCGACAAGGTAACTCTATACGTTGGTGCCTTAACGGAGAGTGGGGGCAGCTATCAACTAAAACCATTCGAATCAATGATTGAATACAGACCAGTTACGTTGTGGACATTTATTGATTAATTTCACTGCTGGCGGCGAGAAAGCAGGTTACGACAGGGAATTTTATTTGGGCGGAAGGCTTGGAATGGGAAATTTGGGTTGAAAATCTGAAGTTATACAAAAATTATAACCAATACGTTCAACAGACTTGGATTTCTTTCTTATTGGAAATCATCAACTGACTGCATCTCATAAGTTCTGACTGGATTCAAAAGATGGAAATAAACGGAAGCAAAGTAATTTCTTGCTCAAATCAGAGCTTTTGCATGATTTCCTCCCGTTCGACGCAAGAAATTCATGCCTGCTTCACAAAGAAATGGGTATTAGTTTTACTGGCATCGCCGTTATACGAATCCATAAATGGTTGACATTATTCTCCTCGTATTAAACTACAGCCGGTTTATCTACCAATTGATTCAGAAGAATCTGTATGGAGTGAAGGTCACCAAAAATTCGCATGCGGCTGAGTATGATACGATATCTGTGTTGTGAAATCAAAGAATCTCTTTGAGCTTCGGACGAAACGAAATTTCGATCTCCATAGTTAAGAGCAGACCCTAAATAGGTAGAAATTCTGCTCTGTTCATTCGGCTGCCTCCAGTAGGTGACCCTGAGTGCCATTTGAACTGTGGTGTTTGTTTCAACAACTGCTACTGCACCGTGTTGATCACCAACTAGGCACACATAACCATCGTCAGGACAAAAATCTGTCCATCCTACATTAGGGCCAAGCATTTAAGCTAAAAACCTACTATCTCTTGAACTGTCTTAGCAGATGCCAGACTGACAGCTGGCATTCAATAAGCAACGGGCGTAGCTGAGAACGCATCCGTCTGGCATTGGAGTTTCTTTATTAAGTTATACACTCCAAGTGCGAGCGCTTACCCGCCCGTAATTGTTGGTGTTGTGTTCAAATCTGTCAACCGGTCAGTTCCTTAAAAACAAGTGGCTGAATATACCCGTGGTAGTCATGAGAACGAAGAAGGTAGCGAACAAACCTTGTTTTTTGTGATTGTTCCTCTTGGCTAATACATCATAAATTTATATGGTAGCAGAAATCATGTGGACAAGGTTAAGATCGGGGCTGCATACACTTTAGAGAAATAGAAATCAAAGGAAGGGGGTTGGATGAGGGATAGGTCAATGGGTCACGGAATCAGTTAAGTGACGTCAATGTCAGACAGACTTGTGGAACCGGATGTTTCGTAGGCGGTTTGCTCAAAAGGGGACCACAGGTGTGTAAACCTAATACACCCAGTGTATTCCCATACCTGTGCATGCATGCAGAGGTCTGTTAAAGTTCTCCTGAAGTGTGACACCCAACAGGGACATCCACTCTAACGTCTTTGTTGATATCATAGTATATCTTTGCCTACTTGCGATATACTGACGTCGTTCTGGTTTTGAATGCTTGAATGCTCGAGCACGTTTAGAACAGCCATTGGCAAACGGCTCGTTCTGACAAGGAGTAAACTAGTGTTCCAAGACACGCAAGATCTGAACATGCTTCTTACGATTAAAAAAGACGCTACGTTTTTGAAAGAATTACTTATCTCGAAAACTGCATTTGCTGAGATGATGACTGACAGAAGGAATCAGTCCGTGCACCCGGATAACTCGAGTGGCTTTCGCCAGACTGGGCAGTAAGACGTGTGTGGGGATCTGTATCGTCCTCAAATCTCTTACAACTGAATCCCGCAGCCATGGATCAAATCAGTTAGCATCAACGGGTGCGCAACGAACTGATCAGAAAACGGGATTTTGGTGTTGGGGGTGGTTCCATCGAGGAATATATCCAGCAGAACAACTTATAATGGTTCGTCTATGTTGTACGTATGCCGAGCCTTTATCAACCGAGATTGGCACGAGACTAGTCGGACAAACAAAGACGCATGAGAGCGATAATAAAGAGCCTGACTGTTGTTTGTGTTATTCCGCTCCAGAATGGGATCAGGGCGACACAGTCCGTCTGAGCAACAGATACATTCCGTTACACATTTTATTTTTCTATTTCCCCCAGATTTCCTTAAGTGATTATTAAAATTTAAGGCTTTACCACAGTGAGTGAAGCACCGGTGTCCACCATCGTTATGCAGCGAATTAATATCGTTATTATTATCATTAGTACTGTTGATATTATTGGATCAATACTGTCGTTTATTTTGAAGAGCATGGTCACAGATATAAAAAGTAAACACAGTCGATGAATGTGGAAGGGTTACAGGAGCATGTTATATGAAAAGAGAGAAGCGTCTCATTCGAAGGCATGCCACCAACAGTTCCAACCAGACAAGACGAATCCCGACGTATGCAAGAATATTGGGTATGAAAACTACTGCTACTTTAGTTGCGCGTTCGCTAGATTTCGCTTGAGGTCCTTCAGCTGTAAAACTCTTCCGGTGCCTAGCTACCATGCTACCCAATGGAAGCAAGGGGGCTGGGATACTGCCAAGTTACCCAAGCCTAGACAGGGGAAGTCGAGAGGCGGAGGTCGGGTTCGAACCGGACAGTAAATTCACGCTCTAACCACATGAGCCATCTCGCCCCCTAGATTTCTCTTAGCGAAAAAGCAATGGTTTACCAAATTAATGCTCAAGTACTTGCACACCCCTAACCGATCCAAAATTTCGATAGGACTCGATGCCTTGTGGGTAGTGGCGAAATTCAGCGAGTTTGCATCTACAAATTTGTTCAAGCAAACTTCTTGCTTATGCGCAACCGTTGTAGTTGAACCGCACCAAAAAGGAAGTACCGGGTTCAAGTTTGGGTATTGTTAGATGGATTTCATGACCCTAGCTTCACGGAAAAATCCGTTCATTCAGGTGTGTTCGTAGACTACTGGTAAGAGGTACGTCCTAAATATCAGCTGTCCGCTGTTCAAAGCTAGGGTACAAAAGGATATATATATATATATATATATATATATATATATATATATATATATATATATATATATATATATATATATATATATATATATATATATATATATATATATATATATATATATATATATATATATATATATATATATATATATATATATATATATATATATATATATATATATATATATATATATATATATATATATATATATATATATATATATATATATATATATATATATATATATATATATATATATATATATATATATATATATATATATATATATATATATATATATATATATATATATATATATATATATATATATATATATATATATATATATATATATATATATATATATATATATATATATATATATATATATATATATATATATATATATATATATATATATATATATATATATATAT